TCGTCACCACAAGGGGCCGACCAGCCGCCCCTGGCGCTCAGCGCCACAACTCCGACTAAACACGCGCGCCGAGCGTGTTACGGGAGAGCGACCCCTCTCCGCAGCCCCCGCCGAAGCCCATCGGCGGGGGTACATAAGCCGCCGCCGCGGAGCGACGGCTACCAGTCCGGTCCCGAACCTACTCCTGTCGAGACCGTTACTCCTGCGAAGAGAATCAGGGCGCCTGACTTCTTCCTATCTCCTGCATTCAGCGAAGAGGGCCAGGGCGCCTGGCCTCTTCGCCTCTCGCCTGGTCAGGGCATCCCGTTGGCACCAACACCGTGCGCACAGAGAAGGCCAGGGCGCCTGGCTTCTCCTCTCTGTCGGGCCAGGACGCCTGGCCGACATGGACCAGCTATCGATTTTGCTGCGCCTAAGTGTCGCTCGGCAACCGACCATCGAGGACATCCGCGCCGCTCCACCGTTACCGACCGAATCGCTCGGAGCACCGGATCTACCGCCGACTGGTCCCGCCGACGTACCGACCGTCTCTCTGACCCTCGGTAAAGAAACGCTAACACGCGTTGGTCGTCTCACGCTTTCTTGCCTATCTGGCCCGACGAGCATCCGAGCGCAAGAAAAGCGAACCGCCACAATATTGAAGCAAAAATGACTTTTGTTCAATTTTTACTCAGTAAAAGTTTAATACTCAAGGCGTAATCAGCTTTGAATGAAGACGTATTGGACACACATATAATTTCGAAATTTGTGGTCTTTCACCACCTAACAAACAAATTGGCGAAAATAATCATTGGTACTATCTCAAAGTACAGACTTTACACTTTAAAATAAAGAAAAAAAAACTTTTCTACGCCAATTATTTAGCGAAATGTTGCAATTTTAAGTAACTTCTGTCTTTTTACGATTTTAGAATAATACAGCCGGCATTTGCGTAACCCGATGTGCATCACGGGGAAGTTGCTCGGTTGGATTTTGCACATCGTGTATGTGTTTGTGGTGCGTGCGTGCGTGCGTGCGTGCGTGCGTGCGTGCGTGCGTGCGTGCGTGCGTGCGTGCGTGCGTGCGTGCGTGCGTGCGTGCGTGCGTGCGTTTCACCGCTGTTAAACAAAGTAGCGTGAATCAGTAGTAATTGTTGTAAAAACAATTTTCACAATGGTTAAGCATCATCTAGACACTATTTTTTTTATACAGTTCGCCAAGGATTACGTAATTTGGACTCAGAGCCAGTGGAGTAATGTTCTATTTACTGACGAATCACGATTTTGTTTATTTGCCTCGGACGTACATGGCGGCGTCGCGGAGAACGCTATGATCGTTCCTGCCTTGCACCAACTCATCCATTTAATGGAGGCTCCGTAATGGTTTGGGCAGATATTACGATATCTGGACGAATAGAATTAGTGATAATGCTTCCTCCAGGAGTAACAGCTGTTCGCTATATTAATGCAATTCTTCGGCCACACGTTCTTCCATTTTATCAAAGGATCGGAGATCAATTTATTCTAATGCACGACAACGCTCGACCTTACACTGCCGCTGTGACCAAAAGATCTCTGGAAGAAAACAACATCTCGTTATTTCCACATCTTTCAATGTGTCCAGACTTAAATTCAATAGAACATTTATGGGATATCATGGGACGTCGTTTGAGAACTCGTCGAAAACAGCCGACAACTATGGCAGAATTAGAAGAGGCGCTGCGTGAAATTTGAAATGAAATTTCTCAAGTTGAAATTAAAAAATGCATCTGTATGAGATCACGATTGCGCAAGGTAATACAGTGAAAAAGAGGCAATACTTCTTATTAAATAAAAATTAAAAAATTCTACACACACGCAAATGTACACACACATACACACACACACGCACGCACACGCACACGCATACGCACACGCATACGCACACGCACCACAAACACACACACACACACATACACATGATGTGCAAAATTCGACCAAGCAACTTCCCAGTGGTGCACATCGGGTTACGCAAATGCCGGCGGTATCATTCTAAAATTGTAAAAAGACAGAAGTTACTTAAAATTGCAATATCTCGCTAAATAATCGGCGTAGAAAAGTTTTTTTCTTTATTTTAAAGGGCAAAGTCTCTACTTTGAGATAGTACCAATGATTATTTTCGCCAATTTTTTTGTTAGGTGGTGAAAGACCACAAATTTCGAAATTATAGATGTGTCCAATACGTCTTTATTCAAAACTGATCACGCCTTGAGTATTAAACTAAGTAAAAATTGAACAAAGGTCATTTTTGCTTCAATGTTAAATAACTCAGTAAAAAAAAAATCGGTGAAAAAAAATTTCAAGGTAGAGCAATTTCGTGAAAAATTATCGTAACGAAATTTTAAAAACAGCATTTTACAGCTTGAAATCTCCACTTTTCAAATTGATACTTGAGAAAACGACTAACTGAGTTTGAAACCGCATAGATATAAATGAAGGTGTGACATATAGCAAAATTTTTTCCAAACTTTGCAAAGTTCCACGGCGTGAAATAAAAATCGCACATAAACGCGATGTACAGCTTTCGAAAGAATGAATCTTTCTCTTTAATTTGCTTTTTTGTTGAGCGTTGTACGATTTTTTTTCACTGAGTTATTCAAAATTGAAGTAAAAAGGGTCATTTTTGCTT